CCAAAACCCCATTCTAATTATTAAGCGCCCCGCATTATCCTCTAGGTATTAGGGAAGTAAGGAAAGTCAGGAAGGATTACAGCCTCGGGAGTTTGGCTTGGCGCTGTGGCAGGATGTAGCGAAGATGCAGATGACAGCACCTGAGTTGCAAATCCGTTCCGTCGCAGATGGCTGTGCTGAAACGATTTTGGCGATTGAGTAATTGGTGTAACTCTAAATCCCTGAATCCCTAAATCCCTAAGCTCTAAGCTCAACAAAGACGATCGAAGTTTCGCATCAGGTTCCATCACGACAGGGGTGAGGATCCCGGGATGCATAGCATACGTCTGATGATGTACACTCCAACATTATAGAGGCCTCAATAATTATCAACATGTGCACTATGTTCATCTCATCGATCTGGTGCTGGCTGAACGAGTCCGGAGAGAGCTGGGTTGGAACAGCTACGCTCGCATGACATCCAGAAACAATTTGTTCTGTCTCGGGAACTTGATTCAGAGACTCCTCTTGCACCCACCTGACGTGCCCTTCATGCCGGAGAAAGTCACGGAGCTCATCTCTGAGTACCATTTGGGCATGTCAAAATGCGAGTCGGCCATCAGTTGCCATCCCTGAAGGCTGCCATTCTGGCAATGCAACGCCTGCACTGACAGCAGCGTCACAATGGGATCCCGGAGTCTTGCCGGCGCCCGGCACGCCATCCGGGCTGGTTCAAGGAGCCATGGCTAAGAGGAGGCAGCGGTGCAGGAATGCGCGTCCTGCTTAAAAAGGCCATTCAGAATGGCCGGGTGGTCCTTCGTCTCGATTGCGAGGCATGGCAGCATGAGCCCGCTGAAGAAGAGCCGTTGAAGAAGCAGCGGTCTGAGGAGCCACCGCCGGACCGGCGACAAGGACAAAGGAGGAGGGCCAGATGGGCCAGGTGAGCCAGGTCCAGGTGCAGAGGGCAAAATTCCAGAAGCCTCAATATAACTATATACTAACATGTTTCCTTAATGCTCCTTTTTAATGTTGTAGACTTGAAAACACCGCCAAAACCCTACTCCCATTGCGCAGGTCCCTATGTTACAGACTCTCGGGCACGGAAGCCGGAAACCTGCCCGAAATGCCAAACAAAACGGTTTAGGGTTTAAGGTTTAGGGTTTAGGGTAAGCCCTAAACCCGAAGGGCCATTAGCCCAGAACGCCCCAATCCGCCGAAAACCACCCGTGGAGAGCTCAAGAACCCCAACCAAACCTAAAACCCAAGACTCAAACCTTATCCATTCTCCACCCGAAAAAGCCAGAACCCCAAGGTGAAGCATACCTACGTCGCACCTTCGAGGTTCTGGTCCTGTCTTTCTTTAACCTAAAGAAACAACCTTTAAAGGGAGGAGTACTGGGCTCCTGTAAGGGATAGACAGGGCTCTGTGAGGTTTCGTATTTAGGGTTTAGGGTTTAGGATTTGCGGGTTAGGGGTCTATAACAGCTCAATGTGTAGTTCTCTAACTTAGGGTCCCATTTAGGGTTATAAGGGTGCCGTACTATATTGGGACCTACAAAGGGGCCCGTATTTAGAGAGCTACCCTTATCAGGGCTGCATGAGGGTTCCATAAGGGGTCGGTTGGTAGGCTTTGTTCTCCAGTGGTTTTGCAGGGTGATTTCCCAATAGTTGATGTAGTAGCATAAGTTAATAAACCCTAAACCCTAAACCCTCACTGTTGTGGGGGACTACTAGGCACGTGGGCCCTTAGAGGTTGGTTTTGTTCAGACCCGCCCCCCCAAAAAAAGGGGACCAGCGGAGCCTTGTGAAGCCGGTAGGGTTTAGGTTTCGGGGTTTAGGGTTTAGGATATATATATATATATACAGATATATATATATATATATGGAGCCTTTTGCAGCATCGTCGGACTTAGCATGTAGGTGGTAAACTGTGGTCGGTAACCATACTTGCTTCACCATCTCCCTCCATTGTCCCAGATCCGCTAGGTACTTGTTAATATCGGGGCTTTAATCATTACCTATACTAGTTTGTGGGTTCCTTCTTACAAATATAGTATAATATACCCCAAAACCCTATTCTAATTATTAAGGCCCCTACATTACTTGTTATTCTTCAAGTTGTGTTCTTCGGCTTGTTCAAAGTGTTTCAAGGTCTGGCATCCGGAGGATTGAGGTGTGTGAAGGCCGTTTACAGAATGTTGGTGAGTTTTGTAAGGTTATGGTTAGGGTTTAAGGTTCACTTCGCTCGCAGTCGCCGCCCCTCCGAGACAGAACAATAAAGCACTACATATACCCTTCTCACACGCTACACTACACAAACCTTATACAACCTACAAAACCCTAGACAACCCTTCTAGAATTACCAAAGCCCGAATACTCCCTGTAAAGCCCTCGACAACCCTTCTAGAAACCCAAAAGCCCGAATACTCCCTGTAAAGCCTTAGACAACCCTTCTAGAACCCTAACCCTAGAACCCTAAACCCTAAACCCCTAAACCCTAAACCCCAAAGGCCCGAATAGGAGCCTCTACGAAGTCCGAGGAATGCCCCGAAACACTACAAAGCACCAACAAAAACGACAACCCAAAGCTCTAATGTAGGGGCCTTAAGAATTAGAATAGGGTTTTGGGGGGTTCCTTATTATAACTATAGAAAAATAACACCCAAAACCCTATTCTAATTTTTCAAGGCCCCCTATATCAGTTGGAGGTTCATGGGTAGTTATAAGTGGGGTTAGAAGCCCCCTAATCTAGGTTATAAATATAGTTACCTTACTTATAAGCCCACATATAGCTACCCATGAACCTCCACGTATGAGGCTTCAAGAAACACCCCTAAAGCTCTACGGCAGGGTCCCTAGAGCTCCGAATCCCTAGCAGTAGTTACGATTCTAGAGACTTCAGACCCCCCAAGCAGGCATTGCCTTCAATTTTGCAGCCCTTGCCCTTACGCCTTAGACCCTTTCGGGCTGAGGGTTTAGAGTTTTGGGTTCTGGGTTTAGAGTTTAGAGTTTAGGGGTTAGAATTTAGAATTTAGAGTTCAGGGTTTAAGGTTTAGAGCTTAGAGCTATAGAGTTTAGGGCCTTGGCCAACCCTAAATTACTATACCCTAAACCCCTAAACCCTAAACCCAAAACCCCTAAACCCCTAAACCCCTAAACCCAAAGCCCAAAACCCAAAACCCTAAACCCTAAACCCTAAGCCCTGAACCCTAAACCCTGACACAAGCCGCCAGGAGGCCTCCAAAAGGCGGGGGCCTCGCAGCCGGCGCGACGCCTCTCGGCAAGGCCTGGCCCTCCCGCTTTGTTTATATAGGGGGTTTGGGGTCTAGGGTTTTGGGTCTAGGGTTTAGGGTCTAGGGTTTAGGGGTTTAGGTTTTTTGGGTCTAGGGTTTAGGGTTTAGGTTTTTTGGTTTAGGGTCTAGGGTTTAGGGTGTAGGGTTTAGGTTTTTTGGTTTAGGGTCTAGGGTTTAGGGTTTAGGGTTTAGGTTTTTTGGGTCTAGGGTTTAGGGTTGAGGGTTTTAGGTCTATGGGGGGTTGTATCAAGGCTTTGTAACAGGGTTTGTGAAGGATTTCGTGAGGGCTTCTTATAGGGTTTATGAGGGCTTGGGGTTTATGGCTTAATTAGAGAGGGGGTGAGCAGGTTTTGGACATGCTTTCGTGCGCTTCTCCAGCTTGTACTGGCCACTGTTCCTTAAGCCCCAAACCCTAAAGCGCTTCTACAGGTTGTATTGGCCAGTGTTCCTTAAGCCCTAAACCCTAAACCCCTAAGTCCGAACTTCATAGTACCCAAAGACGCAGAAACCCACGGCCCACGACATGGACAGATTCTTGCACACAGCCGTAAAATTAGCATTGGAAACCCCCAAACTCTCGCAGCTATCTCGCAGACCCTGAACAGCTGAAATGAGATTTCCGGGGTAGCGAGCCTTCCAGGTTTAGGGTTTGAGGCTTAGGGGTTTAGGTGTTTAGGGTTTAGGGTTTAGGGTTCCTTGGTGGTGGATTTGGAGTCGGAGGAGGGTGAGGATGGGGCTCGTGATTGAGGCTTCCGTCTAGCGCCCAAACCTACGTTTGCCAGGACCCTCTTGGTACCCTTGAATAGGGGTATATGTCCCCAAATAGTATTGTATTTAGGGCCTGAGGGTCTAGGTGCAAGGTTCCCTACTCGGTTTTCATTTTCTGTTCAGCATTTCCTCAGACAAGGCATGGAGGGGCTACAAGTAAGGTTTAGCATAGTGTTCTTGATGTTTTCGAGACACTCATGTTTGCCTTCCTCCTCGTTATCCTTCTTCCTGGCGTAGGCATTTTGCGGATTGTTTCGTTGGGTTCAGGGTCATACCTACATGCAGTTGTAGCCGAGATCTACTTGGTGCAGTTTGTTACTTTCGTGGTTGAACCTGACGCTGCCTGTAGCCGTCATTGTCCTTGTTGCCGGTAATCTGTTTCGTCGTCCTCATCGTCGTCGTACTGGTAGTCTTGAGGTTATGTACTGGCTTCTGCTACTTTTTGCTGGCAGCCCAGTGCAGACCCGTAAGTTCATGGGTCAGGGTGGACGCATTTTTTGCGGCATGGCCGCCCCCTCAATCACCGTCTCGGGTTGTCATGCAGAGAGAGGCAATTTAATACATCATTGCTTCGAGTTCCCCGTTTCATTCCGGCATCAAACACACCAAAACAAAACCCTGGCCACCATTGCTTGGGAGCGTGTTGCCGTTCTTTCTGGGTTTAGTGTTCGGGGCTTGACACAGACCCACGTTTCCGATTACCCGCTCGCATCTCGCAGATGACGTGATGCTCGCAATGCCGCCAGGTATTTCTGCCACTCAGCTGAACCTAAACCCGAAACCCTAAACTCTGAACCGATGACCTTAAACACCGAACGCAAAGCCGGCCTTAAACCCTTAAACCCCCAAACAAATCCCGGTCATTTCGAACCTGAAGCTGTAGGACTGTATGTACTTGGAGGTTCTTGGGTAATAATAAGTGGGGTTATAAGTAGGGTAACTATAGTTACAACCCAGATTAGGGTACATAACTTATAACTAGCCATGAACCTCCAAATACAGGAGAACACCGAATACCAGTATTCAGAGGCACTCGATTCCAAACTCTATAACTCTGCAGAAGCCTTGGGCAACTTGAATATTTCCTAAACTAACCCCAACAGCCCTCAACCGGGCCCATCCTGGAAGAGAGAGAGAGAGAGCGTGACAGCTTGTCTCGCCCATGAAAAATTTAAGGGTCCAGGTATCCAAATAGGAGGGTTTGAAATGCTACAAACCTTTTCGGAGTAATTTCGGGGCCTTAATAAGTACCTATACTATTTTTGGGGGGTTCCTTTTTATGATTATAGTGTAACATAGCCCAAAACCCCAGTCGAATTATTAAGGCCCTTACATTAGTCGGGGCCCACATACTAAACCCTAAACCTTAAACGGAGTCTCCTGTGCCCATCTTCCGGGTTCTGCCAAGGTTTAAGGTTTAGGGTTCAGGGTCTAGGGGTTTAGGGGTTTAGAGATTTAGGGGTTTAGGGTTTCAGGGTTTAGGCTTTAGGGTTTAGGGTTTAGGGGTTTAGGGTTTAGGGTTTAGGGACATTGCTACAGTTGATGACATACATCCTGCATTACCTTAAGGACCCTAAACTATGGGAATTATGGTACGTTCCTTATTATGGGCAAAGCACAAGTAAAATCATCAACCGTAGGGTTACCTGGCGGTTGATGCGTGGTGTTGTGTGGGGTTCTGTGGAGTCCATGTGCCCACATACCACACACCTGGACCTTAAAAGTACCTGGGAGTTGTATACTACATAGAGCTAACAGCAAAAAATAGTAGCATCATTCATAGAAATAGTAGGATGAACAGGAACAATAATACTGACCCTGAACCCTAAACCTGCATGGGTATATATATGGACCGTCAGGGCTCTCAGGTATCTCGTTGTGACTATCGCCGGCCTTGCTTCATTTAGGCTTGGGGATCTAGGGTGTGTAGGGATGTGGTGGTTTAGGGTTTGGGGTTTGGGGTTTTGGGTTGCTCAAGCAACATGACCCCATTAAGTGTAGAGGTAACCCCCATACCCAAGGAATAGTATCCCGGCAACGACCCTGCAAACCACAACAGCTATATTGGTTTTTCTTTCTTCATCTTCTATCTATTGACTAGTTTGGGGCTTATATATTCAAACGGTTCAAGATGCACTATACCCAGAATCCTTGTTGTAATTGTTCAGGCCCCGAACAGACACACCCCAAGCCCCAATCAGTCTCCTTTGAGAAGGAGGACTAATTAAACCCCAAGCCCTGAACCCTAAACCATTACTTGATACACCCACAGCTCTGAACCCGGTAAAGGCGCAGAAAGCCATTTGCAAGATGGTTTGAGGTTCGACGGTTTAGGTTTGCGGGTTACCGTCCATGCGCCCCAGCCCCAAACCCCAGATCCACCCGAAAGCCCTATAACTGCACCCCATAGCACCCTACATGATCCGAGGGGCTTTGGGTTTAGGGTCTAGGGTTTATGCATGCGGTCTTTAGGGTTTAGGGCAGGTATAGGGTTTAGGGTTTTAGGGTTTAGGGGTTTAGGGATCCTAGGAACAACACCCGATCAAGCCTCTGTAAGCCCATACAAAGCCCGAAGACTCGCAGAAGCTAAACCCCAGACATCCCTAAACTCTAAACCCTAGACATCCCTAGACCCTAAACCCCAGACATCCCTAAACCCTAGACATCCCTAGACCCTAAACATCCCTAATCCCTAAACCCTAGACACTCTGCCAGGTGGACCAAAGCTATGGATTGGTAGACATGGGGGCTTCTTACCAGTTCCAACTATGAGTCGCTTGGACGGTGCTTTGTAATGGTTTAGGGTTTAGGGTTTAGGGTTTTGGTTGATCGCGTTTCCTGTTTTGCTTAGAAGTGCTATGAGTTATTCGTGGCTTTATAAGTGCTGTCTGGGGTTTCTTGGCTTTGTTAGGTTGTTAGAGGAGATTGCCTTGTTTGCGAAAGGCGGCTTCGTCCATTATATTATATCATATGATTCTTCTATATTGCTAATATTGTTTCTATCCTTTACTTGATTATATCATGCTTTACTGGACTGTACTATAGGTCCGATACTATGTGATGCTATACGACACGATGCCATGCCATATCATACTACGCTATACTATACTAGACTGGACTATTGTTGAATTGTTCCATACTATTGTTGGTTAAATTATGCCGGGTTATAGTAGATGTGGGGTTTTACCTGCGCCATGTAAATTTACCGTCAGCGAAGGTGATATGGTTTTATATCATACTGTGTTAACATATTTTGTGTTCTTTTGTTCTATTAATTTTACGGTGGTGTGTTATAACAAGTATAACAGATTTTGCTAGATGTTATTCTGTTTTATGTTCTACAGTTTCCTTTGTATGATATGTTATGTTGTATTGTATTTGTCGCATTATGCCGTATGTTATGTTGTTAGGTTCTCTAGTGTAATCTCTATCTCTTGTATTGGATTACGTTGTGTTATATTGCATTATCTTGGACTGTAATATGTTGTATCACTGTATCTGTTATACGGCGCTGTGTTATACCATATTATGCTATTTTACCTGAGTTATTTTAACTGTACTAAGCTAGGTTATGTCATGTTGACTGTATCATATCATGCCATATTGTATCAGGTCACATCAGATCACATCGTGCCATATAATATCATACCGCAATGTAGTATATACTTAGCTGTACATGTATATAACAATATTTGTTAAAAACCCTAAACCCTAAACCCTAAACCCTAAACCCTAAACCCTAAACCCTAAACTACTAGACTTCTTATTGTGCGCCCGCAGCGATTGGAAACGGAGTGGAAGCTATTGAGTTTGAGGTGTGAGGTATAGAGCTGAAGCTTAAGAGCTGAAAGCTTAGGGTCTAGGATTTTAGGGGTTTAGGGTTTGAGGGTTTAAGGCTTCGGGCTTTTTAGGCGTGGGGCGATCTTTTTCAGGTTTAGCGTAGGGCTTGGAGTGTCGGTGTTCAAGGCTTAGAGGCTTTGGGTTTAAGGTTTTTGGGTTTTGGGTTTGAGGTTTTTGGGTTTTGGGTTTAAGGTTTAGGGTTTAGGGTTTCAGCTGCCGGTGCCTAAGGACTAGTTCCCGATCAACGAATGACCCCTGATAGTAACCTCCAGAATGCATGATATCACCCTAAATTTTGCAATCTGTGCGCTAAAGCTTGTCCTCCAAACCTGAAGCCCCCAACCCGAAAGTCTGTAATGCCGGTAAGCCAAGGAATCTTGGCGAGGCGGGAGCATGTTGCCCACTACATGTTTTTGTGAGAGGGGCAATCGGTGTACAGCCGTGCAAAGACTAAGGGGGGGAGAACTTAGCCAAACCTCAGCCGAATCCGCCCGAATCCCACAACTAGAAGAAGGAGTTGGAGTAGTAGCAGCAGCAATAGTCGTAGTCGCAGCCGTACCCGTAGTCGTAGTCGTAGTAGCACTAGTAGTAGTACTAGTAGTAGTAGTAGTAGTAGTAGTAGTCGTCGTCGTCGTTGTCGTCGTGGTAGTCGTCGTTGTCGTCGTGGTAGTCGTCGTCGTCCTAGTCGTAGTCGTTGTCGTAGTCGTAGTCGTAGTAGTCGTAGTAGCCGAAGTAGTAGTAGTAGTAGTAGTAGTAGTAGTAGTAGTAGTACTACTACTACTACTACAAGCAGTACAAGTATCAGGTAGGTCGGTAGGCAGGCATGTAGGTAGCTAGGTAGGTCGGTTGGCTGGTAGTTAGTTAGCTGTCAGTTAGTTAGTCAGTAGTTAGTATTCAGTAACTAGTAGTTAGTAGTTAGTAGTTACTGTCATCAGTAGTGGTGGTAGTAGTAGGAGGAGGAGGTGCCTTCAAGTAAAGCCTTCTTGGATAGAGGTCTGAACGCAATCAAGTATCCTTGGTGATGATTTTTTGTAACGTGCACCAACACCCTGTTCTAGTAATGAGGGCCCCTAAACCATCAAAAGCCATCGTAGAACGCTTGAAAGAAGCCCCAGAGAAGCTCAGTCGAATCCTAAGAAAATCCTTGCAAACCTTACAAGCGCTCGCCTATAACCCGAAACCAGTATCGCATATGGAGTACATATGGGCAGTTCTCTGAATCAGGGTGTTATTTAGGGTCCATTTGTAAGGGTGCCGCAACCTCGTAGAAACCTTTTAGGAACCCTTGTAGATCCCTTTAATGAACCCCCGCAAAGGGACCCCAATTTAGACAGCAACCCATATCGCCTCAAGCCCAAGGCAAGGTTCTACATAAGCACAGCCGCAAGGGTGCGGCAAACCGCAAAGACCAAACCCCTAAACCCCAAAGTCTAGATTAGAATGTTGGGTTCGGGTTTAGGCCTTAGTGGTTAGGGGTTCAGGATTTAGGCTACTAAGCCCTAAACCCCCAACTCTAAGTTACGTTTCAGGGGATTCGTTTGGCATCGGCTGGGCTTTGGCTTGCGGCAGTCAATCCATGTCCATTCCGCTGGGATCCCTCCGCGGCTCGGAGCACTGTAATGTAGGGGCCCTTAACAATTAGAATAGGGTTCCGGGGTTCGTTTAAAAGGTTCTATAAGGGCTACTATAAGAGTTTCGGGTTTAGGAGCCTCAATAACTAGAATAGGGTTTTGGGGTTCGTTTAAAAGGTTCCTTACAGGGTTCTGTAAAGGCTACTATAAGGGTTTAGGGTATAGGGGCCTCAATAATGAATAGAATAGGGTTTTGGGGATCCTTTAACCCTAATAAACCTAAACCCAAACCAAACCCTAAAGGGTCTGGGTATGGGACCTATCCCCTTGCAGTCGTCGTCAAGTCAGTAGTAGAGCAGGGTTTGCGGTTTAGGGTTTAGGGTTACCTTGAACCTTGCTGGGGTACTATGATCCCTACATAATTCCCAAGGGTTCCCCTTTAGTTGCCCTAGGACACTGGACAGGATAACAGTAGCCATAACCCTAAACCCTAGACCCTAAACTTTATACCCTAAACGCCTAAGCCCCTAAACGTCTAAGCCCCGGAACCCTAAGCGCTAAACTTACCCTAAACCCTAAACCCTAAACCCTAAACCCTAAACCCCAAACCCTAAACCCTAAACCCCAAACCCTATACCCTAAACCCGTAGAGCCTACTGCAAATCAGAGCTCCTCAGAGCTCTTGGGAGTGGTTCGGGCTCTGGGTTTCGGATGCAGCGCTGGTCGGTTCCAAGGGTTTCAAGGGTTTCAAGGGATTCAAGGGTTTAGGGTTTTATAGGGTTTAGAGTTTAGGGTTTAGGGGTTTAGGGTTTTATAGGGTTTAGAGTTTAGGGTTTAGGGGTTTAGGGTTTTATAGGGTTTAGAGTTTAGGGTTGAGGGTTTTTATAGGGTTTAGAGTTTAGGG